TTTTTTTTTTCAACGTTTTTATTTATTTTTGGGACAGAGAGAGACAGAGCATGAACGGGGGAGGGGCAGAGAGAGAGGGAGACACAGAATCGGAAACAGGCTCCAGGCTCCGAGCCATCAGCCCAGAGCCTGACGCGGGGCTCGAACTCACGGACCGCGAGATCGTGACCTGGCTGAAGTCGGACGCTTAACCGACTGCGCCACCCAGGCGCCCCATAGTATGACTTTTAAAAATAGAGAATGGGTAGAGCAAATGAAAAAATTTTAATTGTTTCAGTTACCATATTGGTGATGATGGTTTTAGCATTGTTATTCTGAGGCTGCTGCATGTGTAAGGTAAATAAAGGAAGTGAATAATTGTGGGATAGTCTAACTCTATCATGCCCTGTGTCCTTGAAAACCAGGATTCTCGGTGTAGAAAATGGAGACATAGTAGTAACAGGAAGGATTAAGTAAAATCCCTATAGTACTCAACTTGACTTGGAAGTTTTACAATAAACTCAGAAAGTGTCTTATCTTGTGAAAAAAAATAGGTATTTCCTAGCTCTCTCCTAGAAACCATGGCTAAGCTACTAGCAACGAGCATGCATAGAGTCCTGATTATGATTTTGAAATGCCATTTCTCACTGAAAGTAACCAAGCTTTTTAGAGAGATGGCTGATTCCAGGTCTGGGGCAAATAACACACAAGTTGAGCCTGGATCTTCTGAGATAGCAAGGAAACTATTAAAGATGGCTAGTGTAGGGTCAAAACGACTCAGCACCAACTTGGGGTGGCTCCCAATAGCCAGATATGGGACAATTTGAACTTCAATAAGGTAATATTTGAAATGGGTTGAGGCCTATCAAACATGTTTGAATTCATGAGTTCGTAACACTGAAAAAAAAAAAAAAGAAAAGAAAAAGTGATCTCTGGAAGAAATAGGAAACAAGTTTATTATCTTGAAAATTAGTAAATAAAGGGAAAATACAAACATTTACTTTCCCTTTCCTATACAAATCTGACCGTTAGTCAACCAAATAGAAGATGTGGGGAAACATCTCTTTATAAAAATGTTCCAACTAATAAATGAAAGAGAAATGATAGGGTTAGAATATCCTCCAACTCACAATAAATCAATGGATCAAGGCATTGAGTATCAATTTCAGCTGACATCACGAAAAGAGAGAACCAGACATTGTGTGCCCTCTGATGAAAGAACACACCATGACCTATAATCTTGCCAAAAAGGATTAAACCTGAGTCTATTATATTTGGATCCATGTGTCAATATTCAGAGGAAAGAGGAACATGCTGAATTGCACCATGAGTATGCAAACAGCAAAATACAGGCTGTGGATAACTCTATCCAGACCAAGTTCTTAACTAATAATACATTTTAAGGAAAAGAAAAAACCTACAGATTAAAAATACACACTTAGGTATTGATATCACTGTAGTGGTTACTCCTGTGGAAGACAGCTAATAACTGTGAGTGGATACACAGAAGATATCCAGAGTGGCTGGCAGAGTTCTAAAACTGTTTCCTACATTTTCTGTTTGGTTTTCAGTATTTATATTTTATTTTATTTTTTCTAAAAGATAAAAGTAAAAAAAAAAATCAAAGCCCTTAGGATTTTCCACTAAAAATTATGAATATGAACACTTCTATAAATATCAGCTAAAGGTCCTTAAGAAATTACCTATATTATAGAAATATTTCTAAATAATAAGCTACAAATATTTGAAAAATATAATACTAAATTCTTATTGTGCATAGTTATAAAAAGTCAAAGGATTAAGTATACATTGTTAACACATTTACTTTGTTTACAGTATTATGTTTTATAATTTGGTTAAGCGGACTTTGTTGACTTCCAAGATTTTCCTTTCCTACTTTGATACAAGGCTACCCATATTATTCTGTTAGAGATTAGATAAGCACTAGAGCAGATTTCAGGTTTCCTTGAATGTCCATACTTGGTTTCATTCTCCATCTTTTTACATAGAACAAATATAAGTTATCTTGCCCAACTATGATGATAGTTATTAATCTATAGCATTACACATAGTATCATCCAATTTGCAAATAAAGATCGTTCACCCACATATCCTGCCTCATGTTCTCTTCTATACCTTGGTGGCTGATGGAGACTATTTTTTGTTAAGTGTCTAAGAAAGTCAAGAATGTAAAACAGATTTAAACCATCCCAATGAAAGCAGTTTTAAAATGCAATATAACAATAAACATAGACAAACATATAACTGTGTTGTACATTTTTGCCCATCGAACATTGACAATTTCCCTCCAATTGTTCGAGCAGCATCTTAACAAATGGTGCAATTGAATGGTCTCCTCTCCTTTCCTTTGAATAAAATTATGTGGTGTTTGAGTGATTCACATATTCCAGAAGTGACCGGTCTAAAACCCTTCGGATAAGAGCTTCCTCAATTATATTAAAATCCTACAATAAAAAAAAATAATTAGAAACATAGAATCAGAGATGATAGTTTTCAGCAACTGGAGGATAAAGGTCAAGGCAATGCCTCATTTTGCAGGAAAGTAGAGCTCTGAATTTAGTGACCTGTCCCACGTTTCCACAGAAACTCTCATAAACTTATCCCAGAACTTTTGCTTTGGGGCTAGTACATTTTTCTAGTTCTTCTTAATGCATAACAATTAACTTGTTATTGTCATAGTAGAATAGCCTTGATTTGGAGTTTACACTAGTAATCTTTAGTCAACATTATAAATCATGGTCAGGGTGCTATGTTCCAAGTAAACTTCTAATATGGAGTAAAGTCAAGACATTCCCCTAGAATTAACCAATCCCAGGACTTCTACTGAATATCTATCTCTGAAAAATATATTGAACACAAAATTCTCCTTGCCTCCCGATGGTCAAAATGGCTTTCGAACCTTTAAGTTAGCACGTGCTGTAAATAAAACAAAAACTATTAAGAGCCCTATCCTGTGCAACTCATCTCCTCTTCTATAATAATAATAATAATAATAATAATAATAATAAGGTAAAGTCTCTATTGGAAATCTATTCTAAAACATAAAAGCATAAATGCAAATCAACAAAATCCAAAGGAAAGCCACAAGGCCTAGGTGAGAACAAGATTTGGACCAATCCTGGTTTTTTCTTAGGCAATTTATTAACTTTTGAGCTTCAGATGTTTCATAGCGAGTGACGACAGTAACACAATACTCACTTCATAGAAGCTGCTGTAAGGAATAAGATGAGATAATATGCCTAAAGTGCTTAGTATAGTACTTAGTAGCTTGGGAAACCAAAAAGTCAAAACAAACAATACTGCTTCTACCTTATTTCCACATCCAAGAATATGGTTTTGAGTGGGTTGAAAGTACTCTCATCAAAGTCGCTTCCTCCTGACCAGCCCTGAATCATACTTTGAAAAATCTCGAGAAGAATGGAGTGACTATGAATAGCCAGAACAGATATGAAATCAACCTAGTTTTTAAAACACCTATCAGAGCTAAGGGAAAGAGGAAGCCCTATGTGTTGTAAAACACGAGAACATATAGACCGGAACCAGCCTCTGTTGAGGCCCTGGGAGCTTCAGCAGCCAGAAAAGACATTATTTGAGCGCTGGAGCTGAGAACATGAAGCCTCTGTTGTGTAGCCTGTTCAATTCTTCAAGTGGTCCTAGTACCCCCATTTATCCTCTCCCCATCTCCAACTCGCCTAACGCCCTTGCCCAAACTGTGCATATCACTTTACATGCACTATCAAATTTAAGCCTCTCAAGAGCTTATGGGACAAAGTGGTTTTACTCTCCTCACTTATCAAATGAACAGACAGGCTCAGTGGTTAAATACCTTGCCCAAGGTCACAGAGCTGTGACCGAGTGGTTACGTAAACCCAGGTCAGAACCCAAGCTCCTCGTGTTGTAACCACAGTGGGCAGATCAGAAAGCAGGGAAAAAATTTTCAAGTGACAGTCTTCAACAATTATTGAATTCTATCTTGAAATTGCATTTAAAAAATTGCATAAAAAGAAAGCAGTAAAAAAAAAAAAAATCATGGGGCGCCTGGGTGGCGCAGTCGGTTAAGCGTCCGACTTCAGCCAGGTCATGATCTCGCGGTCCGTGAGTTCGAGCCCCGCGTCGGGCTCTGGGCTGATGGCTCAGAGCCTGGAGCCTGTTTCCGATTCTGTGTCTCCCTCTCTCTCTGCCCCTCCCCCGTTCATGCTCTGTCTCCCTCTGTCCCAAAAATAATTAAACGTTGAAAAAAAAATTAAAAAAAAAAAAAATCATGTGAAAATTGTATGCAAAGTTAAATTTAGCCCTTAATATTTCATGTATTTAGATAGAGGAAACAATAAAATATACTATTTCAGAACATGGCTATGAGGGATTTCCTCCCATAATAGGCAATACCCCCTTTGCTGAAAGGGACTCAGGGGATAACACATTACCCTCACATGGCAACACATGGAGCAAAGTAGAACAAAGGCTACATTAACTTTTGGCTTGTTGTTCTCATTCCTGATCATGGGAAATACGGTCATAAGTTAGAACTATTCATACTACATCTAACTTTTCTTCCATCTTAAAAAAAAAAAAAAAATCTTGGGTGGGGGAGAGGTAATTGGATGAAGGTGGTTGAAAGGTACAAACTTCCACTTATAAATAAATACTGGGGATGTAATGCACAACATGAAGGCTGTAGTTACCACCAATGTATGGTATATTTGGAAGCTAAAAGTTCTCATCACAAAGAAAAATTTTTTATTCTGCATCTATATGAGATGATGGATGTTAAGTAAAATTATTGGTGGTAATCATTTCACAATACATAAACAAGTCATTATACTGTATATCTTAAACTTACACAGTGCTGTAAGTCAATTACTAATAATACTGAAAGAAAAAATTCTTTTTTAATTTTTAAAATTTTTATTTTTTTGAGAGTACGCATGAGCGCATGTGAGCAGGGACGGGCAAAGGAAGAGTGAGAGTGACAATGTTAACAGGCCCCACACCCACCACAGACCCCGATATGGGACTTGATCCCACGACCATGAGATCATGACCTGAGACAAGATCAAGAGTCAGATGCTCAACTGACTGAGCCACCCAGGTGCCCCCCGAAAAATTCTTAATACAATGAGATTAGCCATGAGTTGGTAATTACTGATGGGTAGTTATTGATGACATGTGGGAGTTCATGGTACTGTTCTGGCTACCTTTGTACATGTTTATAATTTTTCCTAATAAAAACTTTTCAGTTTTGAAAAAGTCCAATAAACATGACTTTTGTGTTTTATGGAATTTAAATAAAACATGACCTGTGTGTCTTACTACACTGATAACACCATATCTGTTATTAGCCATTCAATGTAGTATCAACTGCATGCAGAATAAACTCTGAGCCATTTCATTACTCATGTGATATAATTTCATCTCAGGTACATAAGTTTTCAACTTCATAAATATTAAAACTAGACACACAGAGGGACTAGAGTAAAAATTAAAATAATTTGAAAGTGAACTCTAGTACCTTATACAAGGAGCAATTATCTCAATCACAAAGAAAATAATTTTGTCTAAGGCAGATAACTCATATTAATAGTCAAGTTTATAAAACACTGTATTTTATAATTTCCTACTTAATGCTATTACTTAACTTCAGGTCTATACACATTTTTTCCACCATAATTTTCTTTGCTTGAATTTTAAAAGGTAAGGTTAACACATACCACATAGAAACAATGTAAAAGTAAGAAAATATACTTACTATGAAATCATCATAAAACAAAGTGTGATTGACTTGCAAATGTCTTATTAAACTGCCACTGAAGCTGCCTGGATTTTCATTAGGTAGTAATCGGCAGAGTGGACAGAACTGGAAATGAAGGAAACCAACAGTTCAAGAAAGAATTAAAAATAATCATTAGTGTCAGAATTTTTACAAAATTAAAAAAAAACTATTCAGCAAAGTGAATTTTAACTTTATGAATCTATTGACCATTCCTCACCATCATATTTTATTTTTTATCTATCTACCTATCATCTATCTATCTATCTATTTTTTGAGAGACAGTGAGCATGTGCATGTGCACTCAAGCAGGGGAGAGGCAAAGGGAGAGGGAGAGAGAGAATTTTAAGCAGGCTTCACTCCCAGTGCAGAGCCTGCCACAGGGCTCGATTCCATGATCATGAGTTCATTACCTAAGCTGAAATCACGGGTCGGACGCTTAACCCACTTAACCAACCGACTGAGCCACCCAGGCGCCCCCTCAGCATGATATTTTAAAACTGCATAAATATAAATAATACTAAGTAAAATTGCATTTATTTCTTCATATGCACTTCTGTACATATTTATCAACTTATTATTTAAACAATACTGCAGTTAGCAGATCGATTAATTGCCTCGCTCTTGAAATATATAAGATTTTTTTGGTATGCAGATATTTTGTTATTACAAATGATGTAATCTATAGTGTTCACCTTTAGATTTATTCTCATAGAACAACATAGAACAATTCTCATAGAACAATGGAGATTAGCAGGTCAACAACTATGAACATTTGTAGTTCCTAATATCTATTGCCCTAAAGTTTTTTATTTCCACCAGCAATATAGATTACAACCCACTAGCATCAATTAGTATTTACACATATTTTCCTAATTTAATAGCAGTAATGGCTTTAAAAAATAACCTTCTTCATTTTCAAACATTTATAAACTCATGAGAAATTCCAAAGATAATGCCAGAGGTCTTATGACCCCATCACCTAGCTTCCCCAATGGCAACATCTTTTTTTTTTTTTAATGTTTGTTTATTTTTGAGAGCGACAGAGTGTGAGTTGGGGACGGGCAGAGAGGGGGACACAGAATCCCAAGCAGGCTCCAGGCTCTGAGCTGTCAGCACAGAGGCCAATGCAGGGCGCAACCTCCTAAGTGGTGAGATCATGACCTGAGCCAAAGTTGGACACTTAACTGACTGAGCCACCCAGATACCCCCAAATCTTTTTTTTTTTTAATGCTTACGTATTTTTGAGAGAGAGCAAGCACGAGCGGGGTGGGGGCAGAGAGAGGGAGAGACAGAGGATCCAAAGCAGGCTCCATGCCAACAGCAGAGAGCCTGATGTGGGGCTCAAACCCACAAGCCATCAGATCATGACCTAAGCCAAAGTCGGTCACTTAACTGCTTAACTGATTTAGCCACCAAGCGCCCCGTCCCAATGGCAACATCTTACGTAACTGTAGTACATTATCAAAACCAGTAAATTGGCAATTAACAACAAACCTTACTTAGAGTCCACCTATTTTTGCATGAACTCAGTTTTTTCGGTGTGCCTGTGTAGTTGTATGAAATTTTATCACATGTATAGATTTATATAACCACAAACACAATCAAGATACAGAACTGCCATGTCATTACAAAGGAACATCCTTGGGCTTCCTCTTTACTTTGTCTTTTCTCCCTAAACCCTGGTATCCACTGATCTGTTCTCTACGTCTAGAACTTCATCATTTTGAGAATGTTATATAAATAGGATTAATCTTTTGAGATTGGCTTTTTTCACTGAGCATAATGGCTCTGAGATTCACCCAGGTTGCTGAATGCATCAAAAGTTCCTTCTTTTTTATTGCCGAGTAGATCTCCCTGATGTGGATGTGCCAATGTATCCATTTACTTTCTGAAGGACATTTGTTGTTTTCAGTTCTTGGCTGTTATAAATGAAGCTGCGGTGAATATTGGTATACAGATGTTTGCATAAACATGTTTTCATTTCTCTAGAATAAGTTTCCAGGAGTGTGATAGCTGGGTCATATGGTGAGTTTTACGGTTAACTTTGTAAAACACTGCCAAACTATCTTCCAGAGTGCTTGTTCCATTCTACATTCCTACTAGCAATGTGTGAGTTATCACCAGCATTTGGTACTGTCTATATTTTTAAAATTTAATTGTATTGTGTCGTAGTTTATTTATTTTGAGGGAGAAAGCACGAGTGGAGGAGGGGAAGAGAGAGGGAGAGACAGAATCCCAAGCAGGCTCCTCATTGCCAGCGCAGAGCCTAGTACAAGGCTCGAACTCACAAACGGTGAGATTATGACCTGAGCCGAAGTCGGATGCTTAACCTTACCCCGTGTGTGTGTGTGTGTGTGTGTGTGTATGTGTGTGTGTGTGTGTGTGTGTGTATTTTTTAATTTTAATCATTTTGATAGGTGTGCAGTGGTATTTCATCATGATTTTAATTTGTATATCCCTAATGGCTAATTTAAATGACTTTCTTTAGGGGCGCCTGGGTGGCTCAGTCGGTTGGGCGGCCGACTTCGGCTCGGGTCACGATCTCGCGGTCCATGAGTTCGAGCCCTGCATCGGGCTCTGGGCTGATGGCTCGGAGCCTGGAGCCTGTTTCCGATTCTGTGTCTCCCTCTCTCTCTGCCCCTCCCCCGTTTATGCTCTGTCTCTCTCTGTCTCAAAAATAAATAAAACGTTAAAAAAAAAAATGACTTTCTTTAACAGACACTATTATGTTTTAACTTAGGTTTCTTTTTAAAAATTCCATTTCCTCATGCATTCATTTTAAAATACGAGATGCAGTGGTGCCTGGGTGGCTCAGTTGGTTAAGCATCCAACTCTTGATTTTGGCTCAGGTCATGATCTTGCTGTTCATGAGTTTGAGCCCTGAGTTGGGCTCTGCATTGATGGTGTGGAGTCTGCTTGGGATTTTCTCTCTCTCTGCCCTTCTCCTGCTCTCACTCTCTAAATAAATAAATAAATAAATAACTTAAAAAAATATGAGATGCAGAATCATTACTGAATGCAAGGTATGTGTTAGGCATTAAATTAGGTACTATTCTTATTTGATCCTCACAACCCAATTTTTTTTTTATTTTTTTCTATGTTTATTTATATTTTTGAGGGAGAGACAGATTGTGAGCGGGGCAGGGACAGAAAGAGAGGGAGACACAGAATTGAAGCAGTCTCCAGTCTCTGAGCCATCAGCACAGAGCTGTCAGCACAGAGCCTGATGTGGGGCTCGAGCTTGTGAACCTCGAGATCATGACCTGAGTCCAACCGACTGAGCCACCCAGGCGCCCCGATTAATTTATTACCCTATTCTCTTCAGGAACCCAATTTCAGAAAGGAAAAAAAATTAACTTAAATTTATACCACTTTAAGTATCAGAATGGGAATCTAGGCCTCCTAATAGGCAATTCAACATTCTTTTCATATTATAACAGTGTTTAATCTATCTGCTTGGATGATAACATTTTCCTTTACATTTCAATGAGGGCTTTATGTAATTTTTTCTTACTGTTTTATGGAGGTCTTGGTTTCAGTATGCTCAATATCTAAACATATACTTCTGAATTCTGCGCTACTCCACTAATATTTGTCTTATTTTTATTTATTTACTATTTTTTTAATGTTTATTTTTGAGAGCGAGAGACAGTGTGAGTGGGAGAAGGGCAGAGAGAGACAGAGACAGAATCTCAAGCAGGCTCCAGGTTCTGAGCTGTCAGCACAGAGTCCCGTACGGAGCTCGAACTCACAGAGTGGGAGATCATGACCTGAGCCAAAGTCGGATGCTTAACCAACCGAGCGACCCAGGCGCCCCAATATTTGC